CTCTTTTCTTCTTTCTCAAGTTGTTCCTTTCATGGTGGTTTGAACACTTTCTTCCATTCTTTCTGTTTACAGAACAATGGATCACATCATTCTGGTCTGTGGAAAGATGCGACGTAAGAGACAAAGACGACGAGATGGACTTCTGACAGAGGCGATGGTGTCGGAGTGAGAGAGGAACGACGAAAAGACTCGATCGAAGAATCCCCCCCCTTCGAAATCGTCGTTGTCGTGCGAGAAAGAGAGAGAGACCCGAGAAACAATTTTATTTTTCTCTTTTATGTTGAATCTAATTTATTTTCTCTTTTATGTTTAATGTTTTTTTTCCTCGTAAACTTTTTTTTTGGATTGCACACATTAAAAGAGTATTTTAGTCCATTTGCTTGTTACAAAATAGGGTCTAGTATTTAAAATTTTATTTGAGTCATTATTGTCATTTTAAGATCAATTTGGGTCATTCCAAGTAATTCCTCATAAATTAATATTAAGAAAGTGAAGCCAAGCAGGAAGATGCCAAGGGGCTTCTGGTGGTCTGGTCATGAAAGAGACAACACCAAACGGACCACTTGCTTCAGATCACATGTGATCTCCTTTATTTAATATAAACTGACTCCTTCAGTTTGAATTCGAATCACATGGTTCCCTGGAGCTTACTAACGGTCACAAGAGTCTCCATAACTCCTCCCTTGCCTTGCAAGACACTCATGGCCAAGATGATAGCTTGTGGAGCAAGTCTGTACAGACAAATTCAAATTTCCTTGTTCGGATGCTTAATTTGCTTGCTCTGATACTTGGACTCTTCATTCAACTCCTGCTTTATTTATTCTTCATTCCAACACTCCCCCTCAAGCTTGACCATAGGAGATCCTTGGACAAGCTTGGAACCTTGAAGAAGCTCCCTCATTAAAAATCTTGGCCAGAAAACCCTCCCTCGGGATAAAACCAGCCAAGGAAAAGAGTAGAGTTCTCCAAAGCCTAGGGATTGGCCAGTGAGCCTAAGGAATTCAGATTTATCATGGTGGAGTCCTTAGGCTCTGGATCATGGCCTAAGTTGTGGTGCAAGCATGAACTCCTTTACTTGCACACACCCACATCTCAGAACTCTTCTTTAGGCCAGTTGTGTCTCCCCCTCTCTTCTGACTACTAGCCATCTTGAAAGGGCTTAGGGACCACCAGCTTCTACTTCATAGAGCTCCAACTAAGGTACCTGATACATTATCCCAAAGGTGCATCAGTTCTTAAGGAAAATGCACTCATCACACCAAGCTCAATAACATCATAAGTATAGGAACAATAATGAATGTATTGAGATGAGTTTAAGGTGCTTCCCTTTCATCAGGTGGACTCCACTTGAATCCCCACTTTGTAATGACACAATCCGGATCATGAAAGCTCTATCAACTCAAGCTTGGAACTGAGAATAGGGAGGACCAAACTCGCATGGTGGCAATGGGTTCTAGATGGCTTCTTTGATCCGGTTGGCAATGAGTAATGCAAGAGTGAACTCCACCACTTGCAAATTCCACTTTTGATCTGAGGCAAGAGGCATGGACGCCTTGGATCTTCAGGATTGCTCACTATTATCCCTCCTCAAGCTTGATCCGGAGACTATAGGTGAAGGACCAAGCTTGGAAGTGAGCAACACTGAACTTGAAACCAGGAGCGCATCACCCTAACAACTGCGCTTAAGCCAACTGGCCCATCCTTTGATCTCTGCTCCATTACCTTTGGACCACCGGTCTCCTCATGACTTAGGTGATGGTCTTCCATGTGTGTCTCATGAACCAGGAGCTCAACACCCACAAAGGCTGCGCTTAATTCAACCGGTTCTACACACAAGCTATCCCTCCATGGTCAGGAATATACATCATGTGTAGGCTCTGAACTTCATGGGTAATGTCATCTTCTTTGTCTTGGATTGGTGATGGACGGAGATAACCTCTTGTGTACCTGAAACATCACTCAAACTCCAGCAAGAATTAGACCACACATTAGGATCAGAGCTTGATAACTCACCAAGTCTGATCCATAATGTTTAACAAGATGCAATGGACTGAATCTAAATAACTCATTCAGTTCAAATCCAAGCAACCAACTCTGTAAATGCACATGTACGATAACTCATCAATTACAAGGCACCTAGGCAATTTTAAATGACCATTTAAGCAACTACATGATTAATGGTCAAAACAAAGACTAGATAACTCATCTAATCATCCTAACAGTTTATGAATGCATCACAGGACCAGGAACAACCTATGGATGCAAAACAAGACATAGAGCCAACATATAGATGCATTACATGACCAGGAAACTCTCCTAGACCTCTAGCAATGCCTCAAAACTCACACCAGGCTCTAGACAACTCGCCTAGACCATTCTGAACACAAACAATTATCCTAAAGCAATAACTAGTCATAACCAAGCTAGCAAGTTTAGAAACAATTTTAGAAACAGAACTACACACACAGTTTTTGTATCATGGGACAAAAACTAGGTTCAACAACTCTAGCACTTGAACATGTCCCAAGAACAAAACAATCCACACAACACAAATAAATAAACTAGGACATGAACTAGACAAAACCTTGCTAGTAAATTCCTAAAACAAAACACACACAGCCAGAAACAATTTTAAACAATTAAACAAGCTCAACTTAAAGTTCAGGAGGTTAGCTTACAACTCAAGGAACCTGAGCTAGTTCCTTGTACCTCCATGGACATGGTTCATCTGAACTTGGAGGTTTGAGGTGTGGGTGAAGGTTCCAAAACTTCTCCTTGGTATGTCCATCATGCTTGCAGTGATCACACTTAAGGCCTCTCTCCTTATGGGACTGTGGTGAAGCGGCTGCTTGGTTTGCAAGTGAAAGCGACTCATTTCCTTCAAACAAATAGTGTGACCCTTGTTCCTTTTGGATTTGAGAACACACTTCTTCAAGAGATGGCAGCTTGTCTGACCTCAGTATGTGATTCACTAGGTCATTAAAGGTAGGATGGAGAGTGAGAAGCAGCCCAAACACCTTATCTTGCTCTTTTCTTTC